TATAACAAATGAAAACATTTCATATCATTCATTAATTTAAAAGATGTTATATTATAGAAATTATTATAAATATTACAGACCCTGAATTATTATTTAATCTCATAATAATTACATTATTAATTGATGTTTTATTTCATTCTCATAAGTATTTTTATACTTTATTTAATATATTAGAATTATTATAGAAATTAACGCATAACAAAATACAATGAGTATTAGTCTAAAGAAAGTATAAGAAATGATAGAAATAATGATAAAGAAATGTATGATAAAAGAATAAAGAAAGGAATATATAAAGATTAACAATAAAGAATGAAAATATGATATAAATGAAATAAAAGAAAGAATAATAATAAAATAAAAATTAAGATAAACTAGAGAAATAACATAAGTAGAAATAATCAATATAATATTAACAATAAAATAGATGTGTAATGTTTCATTAAAAATTTTGATAATTTACAAATAAATTCAGCAATAGAACACAGATAATGAATATTAAAATATGATATCAAATCTTTTATATAAGAAATTATTGTAGTATATTAAAATTAACTTTTTAATTATAAATTCTTTACAAAAAAAATACATTAAATAAATAGAATATAATGAATCACTGAAATAATCATTCTTAATAATCATGAAAAATCAAAAGTTGATACATATATTAATTGACTTTTTTATAATCTATTATTATTATTATTATTATTATTATTATTATTATTATTATTATTATTATTATTATTATTATTATTATTTATTGTTGTTTATCTTATATCATTTATTTATTATATGTTGTATTGATATTTAACAATGTTAATATGAAATAAATAATAACGAATGAATATAAAAGAAGAATAACAATAAATTGATGTAAGAATATAACATAAAGAATAAAAGAAGAAATATATAATAGATACAATGATAATGGTATTGTTAATAGAAGATGAATAAACAATAATAAATAAAAACATTTCATTTCAATTACAATGATTTGTTGTGTGTGAAATTTGTTTTTCTACAAAGAGCATTTGATATTCTTTTATATAAAAATGAATCTTGTTGATACCATGACATTGTTTTCTTATTTTCTTTAAAAGTACCAATATCACTATATCCATTTCCAAATTTAAACAAACAATTATCTGATTGATTATATAAATAAAATGCACACTCTGGATCATTAATATCAAATTTCATCATTCCTTGTATTCTTCCTTTTGATTTTAATGAAAATAAAAATGATTTTGGGTCATTTATATAACCAAGTTTATCAATTTTCATATTAATTTATCCTCCAAATTTATTTCTATTTGAATCTTCAATAATAATTATTATATGTTCTTTATTCTTTATTCTTTCTTCAAATATTTTTTGTATCTTTACTCCATTCACAATATCAAAATCAATCATACATTAAATACTTTTCTATTTGTCTATTCTTCTAGTTGTTGAATTTTTCTATTATTATCATTCTTTCTATTTTTTTTCCTCTCTAAATAATCATTGTAATATGTTTCCCTTTCTTGTTTCTTTTTGTTAAATCTTCTTTTAATTTTATCTTTTTCTTCTGGTGTTCTGAATATTTTATTTTTCATTATCATTTCTTCAATTGAAATGATTTTATTGATTATTTCATTCCGTGTTTTACTTAGTATTTCAGAATCTGAATTACATTCTTCTATTATTTTGTTCATTTGACTCTTTATTATTTCTATTGTTTTATTTGTTTCTTGACTTTTTGTTATTATTAGTTTTCTTCTTCTTTCTGTTTCATCCATCAGTTATTCCTTCTCTTGTTTTAATAGCTTCTGAATATGTTTCATCTGGTTTTATTTCAAATATTTCATTTTAATACATCCTAAATAATAATGATAATGTTTATTAATATCAACAATTGATTGTTGAATATTTGGAAGTGTTTCTATTTCTTCTTTAAAGAAATGAGTGTTCTTATTTATTAACTCTTCCATTTTAATTTAATGAATATCAGATCAAAATCAGATGATTAAATAATTAAATATACTTTATAACATTTCATTTTATTTATTGTTATAATAAATGTTATTTCATTTTTATTGTTTTAAATAACAATAATAAAAACAAGAAAATAGAAAATAATAAAATAATAAATAACAAAACATCTCATCATAATTAATGATAATATCACATAATAATGATAGAAATGAAAATGACAATGAAATAAAAACAGAAACAAAAAACACCTACACAACCAGTTATAAAAATGATAAACAAATGATGATAAACAATAATAGCAGTAAAATAAAAGAATGAAAAAGTAGAAGTGATAGAGAAATAAGAGTAATAACATTATATGAATCAATGAGACACTTGAGATAAGACAAAGAAAGAGAAGAAGAAAATAAGTGAAAAATCAAAACTAAACCAAATAACAATAAGATGAAATAACAATAAGAAAATAATATACAACAAGAATAGCAGTACCAAATAATAACAATACAACAAGATGATAAAGAAATTTATCAAAGATTAGAGAGACAATACATAATAATAACAACATCAACATTGAATATGAAAATGAAAGTACACAATGAAAAAATAAAAATATAAAGAATAAAAAGAAATGAATATAACAAACAATAATAAATAAAAACAGAATAATAAAATTCAGACAAAGAATAATAATGCAATAAAAAAGAAAAAAATAATTATCAAATATTAAAATAAAACATTGTGTTAATTTGCTGATTAGGTATTATAAATTAATAGTGAATAAATGACAAGAATATGATATATTTATTATAAGATATGGAAAATAATGAAATAGATTTATATCAAGAAAAGATATAATGATAAGAAATAACACTAAAGAAATATAACATGAAAGAGTAAAGAGGTCAATAGAAATAAACCAATGAAATAGAAAATATCAAGAACAAATATTAAAAATAAAAAGTAATTGTAAGTAACGAAATAATAATGTGATAAAAGTATCCGAATAACAATAACATAAATAAGATAAGTTGAAAATAACCAAATCATAAAAGAAATTGAATTGAAGATGTTAATAATATATCATTACACTTACGTGTTATTTATTTTATGTAAAACATTCAAGTAATAATTTTGAATAAAGATTATATTATTTATTAAAAGAAGTAAGATAGTAAATGAAATATTATTATACCATAATGAATAATAGAAACAATTATTAGTTGAAATGGTATTTAAAATACAAGGATTTATGATTATTACGAGTTATGCTATTCTATAAAATGAACACTTAATTAACATATTCAAATCTAAATTAAATGAAAGATTAAAGTTAGAGATTGATAGAAAATAATCCAATAAAGAAGAAAGAGAAATATGTTGAACAAGTAATATATAAAGATTTTATTAAAAATAATCAAGATATTAGTATAAAATGACAAAAATAAAATGTTAAATTATTCAATAGGACTCCTGTTTAATGATATAAAACTGACAATAATTCATTGTTATATTACATAATATAAAAGGTTCTAGTAATATAAAATAAATAGAAATAATAAAGAAAGATAAAGTACATGAAATAACTTATAATTATACATTGATATTGGTAAATGTTAAACTGATTTATATTAAAAGTTTGAAATAAAATACAATTATTTTTTTTTTTCTGATGAAATGACAAACAATAAGTTTTATTGATTTA